ATATTTAAGCTTTTATTATTGTTACCTAGCTGTAAGTTTTCCGAATATAATAAAAAAAAATAAAAAAAAAATAAAAAATCTGTGACTGTGACCCTCGTCTGTGAACGTGGAGACAGCTGCCATGATGGTTTTGTTATAGCGCTCAGCAGAGTTTACCTATGGAGTATATTGTGCATAAAATATACATTAGAGCTTTTGTATCTCTAATATTTGGAAAAAAAAATATGTCTTAGATATTCCACTAATTCCCATATTCTTCGAGTTCTTAGGTTTTCGCGATTGTAAATCGCGTATATTTGTTTTTGCAAACAAACCAACGTTTCCCATATTCTTACGAATTGTAAACAACCACACGAAATAGTATGCTTTAATTATGGAAAGGAAAGTATTCGTACTCCAGTGTGCAGTTTGTAATAAAAAAAAATCTAACCATAAAAGTAAATAATTTGTATTGGAGAACCGGTAACTCTTTGGACCAGATTTTCGGAACGTTGCAAAGAACCAGACTGGAACGTACGACTTTATTTTATAACTAACTTCTCAACTAGACTTTCAGGGTCGTAATCTAGAACTCTACTCAATACAATATATGCTTTATTTTCTCTCAATAAGGTTGTAGTTACAGTGTATGAGTACATTAAAAATACAATTATTAATTACAAAGGATAAAAATAACAAATATCAAGTGCCTTAGTGAGAGCTGGAGTCTGTACTAGGTTGGATAGCTGTGTTACAGATCACCAGGCTCACTCCCTCTTAGTGTAAGAAAACGTGACATAAACTTAATACAAAATACAAATAAAATTACAAAATAAAGCATAGGCTATCTAATGCAAAAATGTGTGTGTGTACATGTGCGCGTATGTGGGTGTGTGCGTGTGTGCGTGAGTGCGTGCGTGCGTGCGTGCGTGCATGCGTACATTTGTGTGTGTGTGTGTGTGTGTGTGTTAGTGTGTGTGTGAGTGTGAGTGTGAGTGAGAGTGTGTGAGTGTGTGAGTGTGAGAGTGTGAGAGTGTGAGAGTGTGTGAGTGTGTGAGTGTGTGAGTGTGTGAGTGAGTGAGTCTGTGAGTGTGTGAGTGTGTGAGTGTTTGTGTGTGAGTGTGTGCGTGTGTGCGTGTGTGCGTGTGTGAATGCTACCTATTTCAGTAAAGTAAGTATGTATTCAGTCGACTCGTAGTCGAGAGTGGTCAGCCAATAAGTAATAACTTTTTTACATCCCGCTCTGCACAATGGGTGAATATTAAGGATTTTGTTTAATTTATTATATACATATCCACCTAGAAAATAAAAATGACGTTGAGCTAAGCTAGTGGAAACACTTACTGAGGGACAAACAGTACGTTTACGACGTACGGAGTACAGTTTATTAGGGTCATAGGGGATAAGAGCGTGCGTGGTCAAAGCTATTTGTAGAACAAAAAGCTGTCGTACTGATAGGACCTTACAGGTTTTAAAAAGGTCAGTGGTCGGGAATCTGTAGGGGAGACACCAGCCTACCTTTAGTATCGCGCGTTGAGTGCGTTCCAGCTTAAGAAGATGCGACTTGGCGGAGCCACCCCATGCAGAGATGCAGTAGGACGTGAGGGACTGGCAGAGGGCTAAATACACTAGTCTTACAACTTTCACATCTGCAACGTGGCGAAGACGTTTAAAAATGAAAATCAATTTACGTAACCTCTGGGTCAGACCGTCAATATGATAGCGAAAGGAAAGTGTGCTATCCAGCTGGACACCCAGATACTTCAAACAGTGAGTACGGACTAGGGACGGACAGGAGCAGGAATCATGTGAAAAGGATGGACACGAGTGTGCAGTTATCGAGAATGCAGAGGAGGATGGTATACCACGACTTGTAAGAGAAAACGTGAGATACATGGTTTTTTCCACGTTGAGGGTGAGGAGGTTGTGAGAAAGCCATTTGAAAACAGAATTGAAACCCACTTGCGCATAGTCAAATGCGGACTCCCAGGAATCGCCATAGAAGATTAAGGCGGTGTCGTCGGCATACGTGAAGATGGACTGTTGTTTAGCTGCATATTACAGAGGTCGTTGATATAGGCTAAGAACAGGGTGGGGCCGATTATACTTCCCTGGGGCACGCCGAACGTGATCGGTAGTTCAGTGCTGGTCCAATCCCCAATCCTCACATACTGCCGTCTACCAGTGAGATAACTAGCAAAAAGATCCAGCTGTAGACCTCGAATACCAAGCCTTTCAAGTTTTTTGATGAGTAAAGGAATCGAGATAGTGTCGAAAGCCTTGGCTAGGTCGAGGAAGACAGCAATCGCCTTTTGCTTGTCATCAAGTTTAGAAATAATTGTATTAGTAAGATCTAATACAGCATTATTAGTGGAGATTCCAGGCCGGAAACCGTATTGTGAGGCAGACAGCAGTAGATTCCTTTCGATCTGAGATCGAACGAAGGTTCCATCGAACGAATGGTCTATCGAATAAATGTTCGACCCAAACGAAGAGTGAGAAGGTGAACCGTGGCGTGAGTCTCCCATCAACGTGAGAATGAACGAGACAACAGTAATATCGTGAATTGTTGAATAATCTCTAAAATTATAATGGTAAAGTCGAATATTACGCGCATGACCCATGAAACTCTAAAATGATTGGGTCATTTAGAAGCTAGTAACCGGGTTATCGGGTCACAGGTGCTGTTCGAATCATTTTGATTCGATCGAACATGATCGACACACATCTATTTTACAGTTAACTGTTACTTATTTTATAAAAAGGAACGTTTCAGTACCACGCAATGACCACGCACGACTTATTTTGCTTGAGTATTTCTTAGGGCGCTCCTTCACCGCGAACATGCTTTTGTAATGTAACGTTCAAAAGCGAACATTACAGGCGGTGAGGGAGGTGAGCCGAACATTCACTGCGCAACACTTGTAACATTCGGTAGCCTCCTTCACTGGGAGCATTCGCCTGTAGGCCTGTACTAATGTAACAATCTATTCAGATTGTAAGGTGGAGTCGCAGTCCACCAGTAATAGTGGAAATATTTTCAAGTCTTTGTGCGCCCGGGAGTGCCTTTGAGTGCCCGCGAGTGCCTTTGAGTGTCTTTGAGTTCCTTTGAGTAGCTTTGAGTGCCTTTGATTGCCTTTGAGTGCGTTTAAGTGCCTTTTAGTGCCATTTAGTGCGTTTGAGTGCCATTGAGGGTCTTGAGTACCTTTTAGTGCCGGCAAGTGCCTTTGAGTGACGTTGAGTGCCTTCGAGCGCGTTTTAGTGCCCGCGAGTATTTTAGTGCATTTGAGTGTCTTTCAGTATTTAGTGCATTTCCGTACCTTTTCGTACCTTTTAGTACTTTTTAGTGCCTTTTGTGTCTTGAGTGCATTTTAGTGCCCGCGAGTGCCTTTGATGCGTTTGCGTGCCCGCTAATACCCACGAGTATTTTAGTGCCTTTGAGTGTTTTTTAAGTTAATTTTAGTGCCTTTAAGGGTCTTGAGTGACTCTTAGTACTTAGCCTTTTAGTGCTTTTGAGAATCTTAAGTGCCTTTTAGTGCCTGCGGGTGCCTTTGAGTCCCTTTTAATGCCTTTGAGCCCTAAAATTTTTAGTAGGCACTCAAAGGCACTCGCGGGGTCTCACGGGCACTCGCAGGCAGTTGCGGGCTCTCAGAGGCACTTGCACGCACGCCTTGCATCGCAGCCTAATCCATTCTTGGGTGTTATAGGCGATGCTCGCCCGTGAAGTAGGTAGTTTGTAATGTAATGCTCGCAAATGAGTCTTGAATGTTACATTACAGGCGAATGTTCTCGGTGAAGGAGCGCCCTTAAAGGATGGAAAAAAGTAAAGGAGTTCCATAATCTAAGGAGTATTTTGATTCTGACAATTGACATGACCAGTGTTGTCGCGACACGTCATGTTTTTGGCCTATAGCACATTCATCTCTATTTTCCCATTATTAAAGTACAAATTTGTGTTATGCAAACATGAGGTCGCGCGTCGACGCTTGGCAGCAGTCGAGCGTCGCGCGTCGAATCCCCAATCCAACTCGAAATTCTTCCACAACTCTTTCACGGTAAGTGCAACTCGTATGTGGAATAAACTGCCTGCTGGCATTCGTGACAGTCCATCATCGGTGGCATCTTTCAAATATAAAATAAAAGAGCACTACCTGTCGAACGCGTTTGATAGCTAATAGGTAACATATATTATAAAGTAGTAATTTGTTTAGATTATAATATATATATTCTGCTTATGTTTGTATTTATGTATATAAAGTTCATGTAGGTGTGTATGTCTGTCATATGTATATATTATATATATATATATATAATATATATATATATATATATATACTATATACAGGGTTACAGGAAAAGTCGTGCTAGATCCGTTAAGGGCGTGGAGTACTCATCATTTCTGACTTATTTTACTATGAAACACCCTACCCTAAACTTAACCCTTTTCGAAATATTTGACTTTTATTTTTTTTATTCAAAATTGCCGATTTTTAGGCTACTAAATTTAATTTTGTTTATTTTGTGTGTCTTATTATTATAATTATTGCATTTTTACATGTGTGATAAGATGCTTTAGGACCTCAATCATTAAAATAGTGAATAAGTTAATTCAATACGCCGTAGTAGAAAAGAGAAAGTTAAGAAATTAAAAAAAAAATTTGAAAGTTTATTTTTCTCTAAGGGATATCTAAAAAAAATATTATGGCAGTTGATCGGCAGATAAGTTATAAAATATCTACGTTTCATCAGCTATCTAACAAGGTATAACAATCTAGGGTTTTATTTAAATGCATTGAAAAAACTTAGTTTCATAGGCGATAGTGGAGGAGAAAATTAATACTTAGCCCTAAAAAGTATAACAAAACAATAGGTAAGCATGCAAAGTATTTATTAAATCAGGTTTTCACACAACTTTTTGTTATTCTACAGTTCATGTTCAACATGGCCGCCTCTGTTTCTAATACATTGTCGCATTCTTCTACGGAGACCAGTCTTCACTACTCCAGTGGTCAATGTTGTCCTCATTTGATTTGCTGCATCCACAATCCTTTCTTTTAACTCTTCCACAGACGAAACTGGATTTGACTCGCTGTAGACAAGACTTTTCATGCGCCCCCACACATGAAAATCCATGGGGGTTAGGTCCGGACTTCTTGCTGGCCATGGCAACCTCGTCCTATCCATTTGTTTGGATAATTTGTGTCCAGCCAGTCTCTGACACTTCTCCTGAAATGGGCAGGGCAGCCATCATGTTGGAACCACATGTCCCTGATCAAGTTGAGTGGCAGATCATCCAGCAAATCACTCAAGTCTCCTCTCAAAAAATTTTCGTAACTTTCCCCATTTAGATTGTTCGGGAGAAAGTAAGGACCAATCAAATGATTGGAGATAATACCCATCCACACATTCACGCTGAATCTTCGTTGGGAACCCTTCACTCTTTTCTTATTGGGATTCCTAAGTTCTTTTGGGGCCCAGTAATGCGCGTTGTGATAATTAGTTATGCCATCTTTATCAAATTTGGATTCATCTATCCACAAGATATTTCTTAGAAAATCTGGGTCTTCTACGTCAGCATTTAGCATAAATCTGCAGAAGTCCAACCTTCTCGCGGGGTCTCCTTCTTCAATAGTGTGTACCGGCGTGTAATGGTACGGGTATAGGCCAGCAGTATGCACTGTAAACCACACTCTCAATTGCGAAAGTCCCAGATCACGGGCAACAATATTAGTGGAAGTAGTCGGATCCGCTCGAAAGCGTTGCACTATCTCATTGTCCTGTTCTTCGTCGTCATTAATTCGTGGTCTGCCCATGTCTGTATTTCGTCTCAAAATAGAGCCAGTTTCTCGAAGTCTCCGATAAACTCTGTCAAAAACAGCCACATCCGGCACTCGACGACCGGGGAATCGAGCTATGTATTCGTTGCGAGCTTGCGCAGACACACAATCGCAGTATCCGTAACAAAGAAGCATATAAGCATATTCCTCAGGTGTGTACGACGTCATCTTCAACACTTCCGTAGCACAAGTACAAATCAAAGTCCGGTTAACAAGCACAGTAGTCACAAATCGGAAAAAACAGTCCAGAATCACAGCCAAGTCAAGAAAAAGAGCAAAACGATATCACATCTACTATGTACGAAGCACAATAGCAGACTGACAACATGATAAGCGGCAACATTTTCTGTAAAAATTAAAAAGTTACAAACAATAGGGCTGGCTGAAATATTAGAAAGGCACGCATTACTACATTCAAGCCTCTCACTCGGCTCGTTTTATTAACTTAGCGCGCGATCCAGTTTAATATACAAGTCCGTGCATAACACCACAATCAAGCAAGATAAGCAGCTGATAAAAAACGCAAGTTTTTTCAGTTCTTTCATTGGTTTTCTTTGATTTTAAATAACTTCGACAAGGTTAAAAAGAGATGGCTAAACTTGAAAAGAATGGTTAAAAACAAAGAGCGTAATATACGTAGTATCTCTTATTAGTTTGTGAGCGTAATCAACAAGGATTTGTAATAAGTGGAACGCTAATTCATAGCAAAATTGAAAACTTCATACTTAGCTATCTATTTACAATAGAATCTACCCAAATCGTTAAATATATTTTTCTGATAAGAGTACTTAGTAATAACAATCGTCACTTGATAAATGCGGCTTGTATCAAAGATTCATCGAGCATATCATACACCTACTGTACATAAAACTTTTCTCTATTCGCCAGGATGTCTTGCCGCCAGGCCCTCCTTCTTTCTTCGTCCAATTGTCATGGATATTCACTCCTAGAATTTGCTAAGGAAGAAATTTGTTTGTTCCTTAAAAAGTAAGTAACATTCCGTTAATTTCTATTTCTTTAAAGAACTCGGTGTCTATGTTTAATTTTTAATTGCAGGAATGCTGTGAATGAAATTATTTTCGTGCCCTACGCTCAGAATGATTTCAACGGATATACTCACAAGATCAAGTCGGTTATTGACCCTTGGGGCTACAAAGTCACTGGTCTCCATACTTATCCAGACCCTGCCAATGCTGTAATGTCATCAAAAGCAATATTTGTGGGTGGAGGCAACACATTTATGCTTTTAAAAAGGTTATATGAGGCCAATTTAGTAAATCTAATCAAGTCAAGGGTATTCGAGGGGCATTTATTGTACATAGGCAGCAGTGCAGGCACGAATGTGGCCACAAAGAGTATACACACAACTAATGACATGCCTATAATATATCCTCCATCTTTTGAGGCAATTGGAATAGTGCCCTTTAATATAAATCCACATTATATTGACATAGTGGAAAGTGTGACACACAAAGGTGAAACTAGAGACCAGAGAATTATAGAGTACCTTGACATGCCCCATGCTGCACCAGTGTTGGGTTTGAAGGAAGGAGCAATTTTGAATGTTAATGGAAACACACTTAAAATCACAGGTGTAGCTGGTGCTGTTATCTTTAATAAGTAAGTCAAAATATAAATATTTTTTATAATCAAATTGCACATTAAACTGAAATACTGTCTGCCGTCTGTCAAAAATGATGGAATTGACAAAATGTGATTTGAATTTATATTCTCGTTTATAACTAATTTTTTCGGCCATATTTCATTTGTTGTGCGAAATATTGTAGTCTCTTCCCTGAACAATAAGTGTCTTCCAAATTATCAAGGACTAGTCCTAATATTCAGTACTTTTTAAATTGGTACTACTAAAAATGCAACCTGATGTAAGTAATGCTTACCTAATGCAAACGCACCAAGACTGCTGAGATATAGAAAGTTAGTCTTTATAATACTGATACCTACACATTTTAACTTACAGGGATAAAACTAAAACTGAAGTTCCTGTTGGTACCGATGTATCTTTCCTGCTAAATGAATAAAGGGCAACTGGGTGTTAACTATAATTATGCATTATATATAAACTACACAGGTTATTTTTAAACAAATCAATTTAGCTTATAACTATATTTTTCCACATGATACTTACATAATAAAAATAATGTTAGTTGTAATATATTTGGGTATGTAGATTATTATTTTCATATACATATTGTTACTCTAATAAAATATTTTTAAATATGAAATAAGTGGTTTTAATTAAATGGTTAAACTTTTAAACATGTCATTTATTTGAAATGTTCCAACCATCACACCAAACCAGCAACATCAAGAAATTTTTCCACTACCACTGTGTCAAATCACTTGTTGATACAACCCGAATTAGTGTTACTTCAGGTAAGTTTCGTTCGCACTGTTTCACTTGCTTGTCATTGTTACAGTCCAGAACAATATTATTTACGCACAGAAAGACATGCTGGTCTTCACAGAATTTGGATAAGGACTAGCGTCAGCCTGTGACTGGTGCTTGCATTAGAAGAGCGCGAGCGGCATGGAATAGAGAAGGCTGTGGCGTCACACGTGATTGGCCAGTTCGTTCTGCTACTGGTAAGTGGCATAAATAGCGACGCAGAGCCAAATCTCGTCTTGCACTTAATCCCCGTGTTATTTCACAGCCAGACCCAAAAAGAACAGCTCGCTGCCGTTTTCGTTTTTGTGACGCGACCTGCAAAACAAAATTAATGATACAAAAAAATATACAATTCTTTTTTTTGCCAGTTGAAAATTTATATCCATCTACGTATATAGTAATATATGTTACACAATAACAAAAATTTGTTAAGTAAAAAAGTAAAGAATAAAAATATGCATTTTTAAAAATACGTAAAAACATGGAAGACATTTTAAATATTTGTTTTTGACCATGACACGACTTACATTTTGATATTTTATTTTAAACCTCGTTTATACTAGCCATAATTTCTTCAACTTGCAATAATTGTGAACGAAAGTTACATTTGCACGAATTAATTCCGCGTTCCCCTTTCTATAATCGTGGGCCCCAGACAGGTTTCACTCCTATGTTGTGGATATTCCAAGGATTTACACAAAGCATTTCGCTTCCAAAATTTTTATAGTGTTGTTCCCTGAACGGTATAATTGGACCTTTTGGCCAAATGAATTAAATGTGTAACTCCGTCGTCCATCGTCACTTTCCATCACGTGAGATGGAAGTAAAGTAGTGCGCACTTATTTTATAATTTAAAAAACGTACATATGTACTTAACTGTGACACTGATAAGCTATTATGTTATATATGTAAATCTTAACTTACAACTTGAATCTCAACTTCAAAGTTGTCAGAAAATTCAAGAAGACAACATTTAATTTGCAGTGTAGACTGCAAATTAAATGTTAAAATCTGAATTGTGCCCCATTCAAAAAGAAATGCTAAATAACGCATTCAAGTTTTTAAAGTATTTTTAAAAAATCGTAACTTTTTGCACCATTTTTATCTCATTTGTCTGTCGTAGTTAATCTATGTATTACTTTTGATGTGGACTCATCTATACTTGTCTTCGAATAATATTTAGCACTCTGTACTACAAAGCAACATATTAATGTTCATTATTACCGTAACATCAAGAAAATGTTGCTTAAATCAACTTTCTCTAGTAAAAAAAAATATAAATCCTGTATATTAAGAAATTATATGGTAATGCAAATATGAAACTCTGTATCTGCGATAGATGGTCGTTAACTTTTTTTAGCGGACTGTATGGAACTTGGGCTGTGTTCTTACAGCTTCATAGCACAATTTATAATTGAATTTGTAATCAAACTACCTGTATAGCAGCGACAGGATGCAATGTGTCAACATGAGATGCAGGTTCCACCTTTGGTTTCTCTTCTTCGTGTTTTCCATTTTGCTCTATAGTTTGACTCTCCGATTTTTCTTTACTATTATCTTCTTTCAGAATCGCGGCATTCTGATGTAATACATCTTGTACAGTAGCTTTGCCAGCCATGTGCACCGAAAGCCCCAGGCGCACAAGAACTCGCTCAGGTCGCCAACGATCACGCGCGCCGCCGACTGGGGCGGTTTGCTCGCGTCGACGTACATCAGCCACGAGACTCGCCCAATCCACACCAAGAGCGTCGCCTAAACCTGCTGAAAATATAAAACATTATTTGAGTATGAATCAACATTTTATTGTACAGAGTTTATAAAAAACAAACTGACGATTGGATCTCACCTCTAGTTCTCTCCTCTTCAAGTTCCCCATCTGAGATTTCTTCAAAATCAAGATGTGTGACATCCTCATCATCTTTGACATCATGCGACTCCTTTTCTTCACCAGCACCACCAGTATCCTATATAAATAAATTGAAAAATTAGGATTAGGTTAAGTTAGGTTGGCATAATAATTTAATGTATTCCTTATACACTATTAAGTTTTATAAGCAAAACTCGTACCTGTGTTGACTCTTTTTCCGATCCATCAGGCTTCAAAACATTTTCCTCAAGAGGCAAAGCACTTTGACTGTCTTCATCCATATTCTGATCTATCATCTATAGCAACAAACAATATTTTATAGACTTTTAAATATAGCATTCACTGTTATTAAAATTTCGACCAACTTACATCTTCTCTATTTAATATGTCATCGGGGTCATCGCTGATTTCACTGAGGTCATCAGGAATAGGTTTGTCATCTACTTCGGGTTCTTGTCGTGGGGGAGCAGCTGGGGTCACCTGCACGGGCGGCGGTGTTTCTTTCGCACTTGGTTCGGGGTCATTTCTAGGTCCTCGCCGTTTATCGCCTCGACCCATATCCATTCTCATTCCACGACCATAATCATCTATAAATTTGATATAACCTTGATAATGAAATATAGCGAATATGACACATATAGCTAATACGAAAACGTACCATGCATACGACCACGGTGAGGCCCTGGCATATGACCTCTGTGATGCCAACCCTCCATATCAGGATCTTTGTCACCCCACTCGTTCATCTTAAAAAAATAAAAAGTACTATTTGTTTTCTAAATTGCATTTTCTTATTTGAAGAAAACAATTTGAAGAACAATTACATAACAACCAATATAGAATAGTGAAAACATACCAAAATGAGGATAAGGACAGCCAAGGAAAATATGGGATAGGATAAAACAGGAATTTTGGTTGTTTCTTGTACGATAGTCAATAGGTTCATTCAGGTAGACAGCTTGATAGTACAGACTCACCTAAAGGAAATGTAATTTGAAAGATTTGTTACAATGAAACAATAACTACTATGATATTTTTATATAGGCGATATAAAATTACCTGAGGTTCATGCATTCCCCAATGTCGATCTCTACCCCAATCACCGCCGCCGCCACCTCCTGGTCGGTAATCGTCATTATCCCAATCCTTATGTGGATGAATATATCCACGCTCACGATCCATCGAGCCTGAACGCCCTTCCCATGAACGATCACGGTGAGGACGTCGATCGTCGTAACCTTGCAATAAATAGATGTAATTTAAAATCAGAGAGCGAGCAACACATCTATACACATAAGCTAAATCACAACGCAATTAAACATACCCATATCAACACCACGGTGATCACCCATATGATCACCATATATTCTCTCATCATCGTCAGGATACCCTCTCGCTGGCCCAGGCATATCATACCCAGAATCATAATGCCTATCTCTTCCAGATACTCCATAGCCAGGAGATCGATCATCGTCTCTGGGACCATCTTCATAACGGTCACCTCCTCTGTCATAGTGATCCATTCCATGGTCACGGTCATATTGGCGATCCATACCCATTTCATAATCACCTTGATCTCTCTCCATGCTGTCCATTCTATCCCTCTTACTAGACCTGTCTCTTTCAAGTCTATCTTGTTTACGCCCCCCTCTTTCAGAATGTGTATCTTGTCTATCTTTAGACGTATTTGAATTCTTATCAGTTTCTAAAGCTCTGTTGGAAATAGCTGCAAGAGCAGCTAATCGTTCTTCTGGCCTAGGCAGCAATCTTTCCATTGGCTTATTGGGTTTTTCGAGCCCTTTGTCAGCTCCACCTCGACCTCCTAAACCTCGATCACGGCCCCTTCGTTTGCTATCGTCTCTTTTGCCATCTTTCCTATCGCGCCCCCTATCTTTCCTTTCGTGACGATCCTTATCCTCATGTTTCTCTTTTCTTCTTTCTAACGACCGATCTTTATGATCTCGACCCCTGTCTCTACTAGATGACTTTTTTCTATGCCGTTCTACACTTAGATCCCTCCTAGTTTGCTTTTTAGGAGATACAGGTCTACTTCTTTCTGAACTGTCTTTCCGTCTAGTAGCATCTTTCGAATGTGAACCGTGACGACGTGGAGACCTAGATCGACCTTTTTTTGGTGATCTACTACGACCCCGAGGACGATCTCTTTCTTTCTCGCGATCTTTTTCCCTATCTTTGTCCCTCTCCTTGCGGTCTCTTTCCTTTTCTCTAGAAGAATGAGGAGAAACACTTCTATTCCTATCCCTCCTTTGTGGAGATTTTCCATGTTTTGAAACTCCTTTCCCCAGTGTTTTAGATGTGATTGGAGGTGTGCCACCGGATTTTTTTCCAGGTGATAAAGACTTTTTTCCAATTGCTGCCTTTGTGAGAGCTTTCTTTTTATTTGAATCATGCTTTTTCAAAACCTTTTCTTCTTTTTTTATACCTGATTTTTTTGTATCAGTCTTATCTCTTTTTAAAGAATCACTTTTAAGAAATTTTTTCTTAGTTGGCACATCTCCATCAGAGGAAGAGCTAGAATTCCTTTTTAACTTTCCTTTCTTTGTCTTTCGCCTAGCTTCCCTATAAAAAATAATAAATTGCCGTATTTTTCTATTCATACATTGTCCAAATAAATCTTAGGATCTGGCCTCCATGGCCGAATGGTTATTAATGCTGGCTGACACGCAGAGGTTCCAGGTTCGATTCCCAGGCTTATTTCCTACATTGATTTCTCCTATGAGTTTGGGTGTAATTTGTGGTTGTCTATGTGTGTGTCTATGGCACCCGCGATATAGGGTTTCCCTAGTGGGAAACTATGAGTGAGTGTGCGCGTTATTTATAGGCTAAAAGTATGAACACTGTTTTGTTCCACATTGGTTGACTATTGTAACTTGAAGATTAATTTCAAATGCACATAGAACTTATATAGATAAAACAGCATTAAAGATGTCTAGTAGTTTAGAGTTTTACATTTAAATATGATAGGTTTTATAACTTCATAATTCTTAAGAACTAACTAGTAGGTATAGTTAGGTATGTTGTGCTGCAGCCCCACCCTAGCAAATGCCACCCTAGGCTGAATAGTATATTAGACTGTCATCTCTCAGCAAGCTAAATCAACTTCTAGATTCACATTGTTGGCTTTAGATAAAACATGATTAATTTAGTCAGTAAAGATACTATTTTTAGAATAATATTAGTGGAGCCCACCAAAAATTCACTTATTTAAGGACTATTAAAAAAAAACTTTATTTGACATGCATAAAATTCAAACAAAACAACAAAATAAAAGAAAATAAATTCAATTAAAATAAAAATAAAAAAGAAGCATACAAAATAATAAAAAAATAATAAAAGCATCTCAAAAGGGTCCTTGACTCAGCCTCTAAGAACTATGCTGATTACATGGCCCTCACTGTTATTCTGTCATGGCCCGTCATAATATGGAACACCAAAATTCAAATAATAATATATGTTACATGCTATGTACAAAACGAAAATCAAAATTAAAATAACTGTAGACATTTAGCCACTATAGTCAAGAGGCCAAATTTGACAGCTAAAGAAGGTGATAGTATGTAACTTTGAATGCGATCAATGAAACAATAATCAAACAATTATGAACAGAATTGAGTTTTAGAAAATACGTAAATTTTATTGATAGATTATATAATATGAGAAAACATATTTGAAGTGGTGTTTTCGCACGAATTCCAAACTAAAATGCAATTTTGAGTTACCCCGAAACATTCTGAAAACAGTTATGTCCTTGAGCTATTTTTTTTAAATGAAGTGATGGAAGCGATTAGTCGCCGAATTTCACCAAGTCACTTCGATTTCCCAGAAAAAATATTTAAAAAAAAATTACAAAAACTTATGAACTTTATTTGAGATTGTTTGTTGTTGATATTGACAACTTCTAACTTATTGCCAGCCGAATAACTGAAAATTTATGAAATCCTTGCTTTCTTGGGAAATAAGAGGAATTGCTACAGAATTGCAAGGAATTGTCAAATTTGGCCTATTATTTGGTGACTAAAATTTGACATAAGCAACAATTGGACGAAGTAAGTAATCAATTTGAATAAGAATTGAATATAATCCAACAAGCACTCACAGAATTTTCTTTAATGTAACTTGTGTCTATTGATATTCATAGTGCTTTTTATATCTACCAGAACAGCATGGATAAGCAGCATGCATTTTATGTTATATATATAAGATTTTACAACAGATTATTATATTAATATTATGGAGATGATTATTATTCATACATAAATACCACTAGAGCGAGCAGGTGAATCCAGACAGCCCAAAGTAAAGAACTGGAGTAATGGCAAATCTTTATTGCTCAGGATACTTTACATAGATTACATAACTTACCTGCCGGAAGAAGACGACGATGAACTTCCATCTGAGGAAGACGAAGAGACACTAGAAGAGCTGGAGCTCCTCGAAGACGAGGAACTCGACACTGCTTTCTTTTTATCTTTCCGCATATCTTTACCAGAGTCCATTTTCAATTGCAACTCTAATTCACGCTGCAACTGCAGCCTTCTTTTTTCAAGAACATCCGTATCCGCGTATTCCAAATCATTTTGGTCCCAGTTATCAATTTCGCCGTCGGGACTACGTCTCACTACCACAGTCGAATGCAGACGATTCTTGGTATCGTCCTTCACAGAACGTTTTTGTTCACTATCTTTGTTCGCTGCCCGCTGTTTAGAAGGACTAATAAGTGTATGAGTTGACGCGAATTTACAGCTTTTACCGTAGGCGCAATTTCCGTGTTGTGCCCATTGCCTACAATGTTCAGTTGTTTTTTTAGCACTAGCTTTCTTGGTTCCGAGACGCTCAAAAACACTAGGTCTGTTTGCAAGGTCCTTTGATTTCGGTAATTCGACAGTAATTTTTCTTTTTCCTTGTTTTGACATTATAAAAGAAAAACATTGGTCTCACTTCTCAACTAAATCCAACTAAAAACACATTTTCGCCGGCGCCACGCACGGAACCTTTCGGCCGCCATTTTCAAATTTAGTGGAATGGAATTTATTTTAGCTTTTTTTCTAATTGTAAAAAGTTATTGAAAATCGGATACATTATTGTTTTTTTTTTTTATTGTAAGGGATCAAAACGGCGATTTATAGGTGAATATTAAATGCTTAATTTAAGTTTATTATTCAGTAATTTACATTCCTGTATGTAAAATATTCACTGAAATGGAATAAATACGTCAAACATAAAGGGAAACTCAAGGGTATTTATTATCCTGCATTGCAGTCCGCCTTGTCGTCCACTGTGTAATTCAGAATTTTATTAAGAATGTAGTCGCAGCACGATGGAAAAAAAATAAAAGAAAGTCGCAGCGTGCAAGCCATCATGAAGCCATCCTGCAATGGGTGCTACGTGACTTTATACGAGAGATGTGTGAGAGCCTTACGCAGGATAGTTTGTGAGCAGTCTCGTGCTTGCGCAGTGGACTTCTATGAGCAGTCTCGTGCCTGCGCAGCGGACTGCTATGCAAGTAGTTAATGGGCAGTTTTAGACGCACATAGTCACATCACAGTGTGTGTGGTCCTTCCTTAGACTATGACCTGGACCACAGATAAGACCTGGACTGTGATGTCAAGCGATTATGCTGTTGAGTTTTCAATAAATTATGCACATTTGTGCAAAAATCTCTTCGATTCTCCCTCTGAGTCACCGAACAAAATTCTAACACAACCTCCATAACGTTTATGAAACTAGAAAACGGACACTGCACTGGCAGAATTGAGACCTTGTAGTCTCACAAGCCATTCATTAAGAAAAAAAACTATGCACACAAGTTGAAAACCATAAGTATTTTTATTCGGTGAATAAAAATATTAACCTTATTATAATTTGTTGCTTCGTAATACGGTTATATGCATTCCCTAAAGATAATAGAAAATATTAACCATCAGACGTCAAGATGCCAATGTTAGACGGCAAAGAAATCGAAATATTCTTCGTAAGTACTGATAGAATAGAATTATATTTGTAATACAACGTTCATACAACTTTTAGTTGTAGTTCAAATCTGTCCTGGGTTATAACCTAATCTTAAAAAGTTACTATGAATTAACTTTCAAATGGTCTTTGCTACGTTTACTACAAAGTATTCATCTTAAATTTATTTTTCAGAGCGAAGAAGATTTGCCATATGAAGAAGAAATTTTAAGAAACCCTTTTTCTGTAAAACATTGGCTTCGATACATAGAACATAAGAAAGGAGCACCCAAACATGAAATTAATATGATTTATGAGAGAGCTTTGAAAGAGTTACCAGGATCTTTCAAATTGTGGTACAATTACCTGAAATTGAGAAGATCACAGATTCGAGGTCGCTGCATCACTGATCCTTGCTATGAAGATGTAAATAATTGCTTTGAACGCTCCTTAGTGTTTATGCATAAGATGCCCAGATTATGGATGGATTATTGTACATTTTTGACTGATCAGTATAAAATTACATCAACTAGAAAAGCATTTGATAGTGCATTACGAGCCTTACCAATTACACAACACCACAGGATTTGGCCCCTCTATTTGAATTTCTTAAAAAAACATAACATACCTGAAACAGCAGTGAGAGTATTCAGAAGATATTTGAAACTTTGCCCTGAAGATACAGAAGAATATATTGACTATCTCATTGCTATCAACAAGTTAGATGAAGCAGCACTAAAATTAGCTCAAATTGTCAACAATGAAAATTTTCAATCAAAGCATGGAAAGTCAAACCATCAGCTGTGGAATGAACTGTGTGAGCTCATATCAAAGAATCCAGATTCAATTCATTCCCTCAATGTAGATGCAATAATCAGAGGAGGATTGCGAAGGTATACAGATCAGTTAGGACATTTATGGAATTCTCTTGCAGATTACTATGTAAGGAGTGGTTTGTTCGAAAGAGCAAGGGATATTTATGAAGAAGCTATTCAAACTGTTACCACAGTTAGAGACTTCACCCAAGTTTTTGATGCCTATGCACAGTTTGAGGAGCTCAGTTTGAGCAAAAAGATGGAAGAAGTTGCAAAGAAACCAAATCCCACTGAGGATGATGATATCGATCTAGAGCTTAGACTGGCAAGGTTTGAATACTTAATGGAAAGAAGATTGCTCCTCCTAAACTCAGTACTGTTAAGACAAAATCCTCATAATGTTGCAGAATGGCACAAAAGGGTCAAACTTTATGATGGAAAACCACATGAAATTATTGATACTTACACAGAAGCTGTTCAAACAGTAGATCCCAAGTTAGCAGTGGGAAAGTTATACACATTGTGGGTTGGCTTTGCTCAGTTTTATGAAAAGAATGATCAGATAGAAGATGCTAGACTCATTTTTGAAAAAGCGACACAAGTAAATTATGCAAAAGTAGATGACTTAGCTTCTGTCTGGTGCGAGTGGGCTGAAATGGAAATTAGGCACGAAAATTATGAAGAAGCCCTTAAACTAATGCAAAGAGCTACTGTTCTGCCTAGTAGAAAAGTAGCATATCATGATGACACAGAAATAGTACAGATGCGTTTATACAAATCACTGAAAGTGTGGTCTATGTATGCAGATTTGGAAGAGAGTTTTGGCACTTATAAATCATGCAAAGCAGTTTATGACCATATCATTGATTTGAAAATAGCAACACCTCAAATAATAATAAACTATGGATTGTTTCTAGAAGAACATAACTACTTTGAAGAAGCTTTCAGAGCTTATGAAAAAGGCATTGCACTTTTCAAATGGCCAAATGTGTATGACATTTGGAACACGTATCTAACGAAATTTTTGAAAAGATATGGTGGAACTAAGCTTGAAAGAGCTAGAGATCTGTTTGAACAATGTCTCGAGCACTGCCCTCCTGAATTTGCTAAATCAATTTTCTTATTATATGCTAAACTAGAAGAGGAACATGGTTTAGCTAGACATGCTATGGCAGTTTACGAACGCGCCACTACAGCAGTTCTCCCAGAGCAGATGTTTGAAATGTTTAACATCTACATCAAGAAAGCTGCAGAAATATATGGAGTACCTAAAACAAGACAAATATATGAAAAAGCTATTGAAACATTGTCTGAAGAGAAATCTAGAGAAATGTGTATACGTTTTGCAGAGATGGAAACCAAATTGGGTGAGATTGATAGAGCCCGAGCCATTTATGGACATTGTAGTCAAATGTGTGATCCAAGAATTACTTCAGAATTTTGGAATACTTGGAAAGAGTTTGAAGTTAGACATGGCAATGAAGACACAATGCGAGAGATGCTTAGAATTAAGAGAAGTGTTCAAGCAACATACAACACACAGGTGAATATGATGTCTGCTCAGATGTTGAGCTCTGCAGCACAAGCTGCTGGCACAGTTTCAGACTTGGCACCAGGAATGAAGGATGGTATGAGGATGTTAGAAGCTAAAGCAGCTGAAATTGCTGTCCAAAGCAAAGGAAACATCATGTTTGTGAGAGGAGAAACACAAGGTCTAAAAGATAGTTCAGACAAGGTGGTTAATCCTGATGAGATCGACATTGATGAAGAATCGGAGAACAGTGAAGATGAAGAAGGAGAAGTTGCCCCAGTTGAGAAGAAAGAAATTCCTGCTGCTGTCTTTGGCGGACTGGTCCCAGAAAAATAATATGGTCTTTTGAAATCAAAACCTACTTATAATAATATGAGTGAATTCTTACTGTAAGATTTTAGTAGTATACATAGAGTACTGTTAAGTCAATGATACTAATCTGAGTAATAAATCAACTTTTAATTAACTTACATTTTCTGTACATGAGCCGCTTTATTTATTTATTACAACAGAAATTACAGAATACATTTTTACAATTGAGATATTTATGAAAAATAATTCAGATGCATTCATTTGACAAGGCCAGATAGGTATTGCTGGGATGTTTAGGATGGTTATACAAAATCCTCAAAAATACATTATTATTTACATAATCTTCTATGATATTTATTAATTATTTAAAAATTTGAAATTAACTTTTCTGTTGCACAGATTTAAGTTTTAATACCTATCAATTAGTTCATATTATGTCTCTAGGTGGGGCAATGAAATGAAGTGAGTTTGAATACATACTTTGGTGCTCAGAGTAATTTAAAATACTAATATCATTATGAACACCTCCAAACATAATTAATTCCCCATTGCCTTTTACTAATGAGTACATTACTAGCTCTTCAGGTGCCCCTCTCATTTCACCCAGTCTTGGACATAACCATGACACATAGTTATAGGAATTTCCATCCAACACTGATGATATGTCTAGAACATGCATTGTTAATGTGTTTCTTTTAATTTTTTTTACAGCAGGCTGTCTCCGAGGGGGAATGGGATCTGGTTCTGGTTCTCTCCTGTTTTCCAGGTGTGCTATTTGCCTTTGATTTATGAGATCATTTTCAGGTGCCGCATTATTTGTTGAAGAGTCACAAGCAAAAGCAGCCATCCTGTATTTGTTAGCTTCTTGCAATTGTCGAACAATCTTCATACCCTTATTCTGAAATTAAAACAGAAACATAGGTAAATGTACTTATGTTGAAAAAAGTACTAATAAATTCAGTTCAGATATAGATAAAATTATTAGTTTCACCTTATTTTTATTACGCCTCAGTGAATCTCGTTTTGCAGAGTCTAAAGCACTGCCAGATCTTTCAAAACTTGGACCCGGAACTGCATTATCTCTTTCTGGACTAATATTCTCATTAGGAATTCTTGGACCTTGTAAGTGTTGTCCATTGCTGGGGCCTGCCACTGGTTCATTGCTGTTGTTAATTTGAGCTTGCCTTGCTATTGGCTGCCGTGGCAAAACTCCCCTACGACCATTAATATTTTGGTCCCTGTCTAGTGGTCTCTGTAAGCTTTGTTCTACTCTGACAGAAACTGGAGCTCCTTCAGGCCTACTAAGTGCTGCTAAGCGAACTGCTGAAGTAACTAGGGGTTTTGCAGTATTCCATCCATTTCTACTTCTACTTAGGCTTACAACTTTGTCACCAACCCTACAAGCAGGGTTACACCATATATTTGCTGAAGCCCACTCTTTATTTTTAACAATAACTTCATTCCAAGTCCAAACAGGTCCTTTCATAGTTAGTATCCAGCAATCACTGTAAACGAAGCGATTGTGTAATGTTTGAACACCGCCCAAAAGCATCAACCTTTCAGAGTCCAAAGTAATAAGAGACTGAGCATATCTCGGAGATGGTCTAGGTTTTGTAGTAGCTTGTTTCCTCCAAGAAAGGGATGGTATATCTAAAACCCACAGATCATTAGAGCACTGTATTTGATAATTCTGTACTGCTGACATCACTAGTCCTCCAAACACTACCATCTCATCACCTTTCACACAAGCAGAGTGTCCAGCCATTGGAGGAGGTGTGTTTGTTGCATTTATCAGCATCCACTTATTGGTGTCTACGGAGTAAAAGTGGATCTCATTGAACATTGTGACATTTTGATAGTATTGAGACAAAGAGGGGTATGTCCACCCCCCAAAAACTATTAAACAGTCTTTGTAATGCACCATTGATGTGTATGCTTTAGGTACTGGGTATGTTCCTGTTGCTAAAGGCCTCACCCAATGTCTATTGGAGAGATCGAACCTCCACAAATCATTAAATGAAGTAGCATTTGTTGTACATCCACCAAATATGTACATACTATTGTCAATAACACAGGCAGCATGAGAAAATCTTTTAGTTATTGTGGGTACCATTTCTGTTGGTACAATATTCTTCCAAAGTATATTGAATTCCCCTACAGCCTTTACCAATTTTATTGATGTTTTTCGTAGAACATCTGAAACATTTTGTTAAGTAATAAATATTGAATATACATAATTATATTTTTGTAAGTCATTGACTTTGACTTACAAAAATATAATTATGTATATTCAATGTTATTTATTCCATAGGTAAAATAAATTTACACTTGAAATCGTCACATTTAAGCTACTGCTTGTTCACTACGCTGACCTCCCTGAGAAGAACGAGCAAGAAACTCTAGGGATTTTCAAATAAACTTAAATGCCTTGGAATACACTTTGAATCAAATTTGTGTGGATTCTGGAGCCGTGTCATCTTTCCATATATCTTTATCTAACACATAGTCTTCAATTTTGTAATATGATTTTTCGATCAAAATATTTTTAATGTAGTTTTTAAGCTAAGGAAATGATAAACTTAATATATGCTCTGGAATCTAATTGTAACAACGTATACAGTTCGCCATACAATAGTTGTTTACCTTGGTTAAACGAAATCGTGGTACCATGAGTTTGGACTTAGCTCTAAGGTTAATATTATGGATATCTTCTATCTTATTGAAATTATGTAAATTTTTACAGGCATATAAAATATTTGAATAAATGTACTGTGATGCCACAATCATGATACCAGTCTCCTTAAACTTTTCTCTGAGAGAAACCCGAGAGCCTAGACAGTGTACTGTCTGTCAGTAAGTAAGTACACAGGTAAGTGGTGCTTCCAAGTCATTCTGTTTTACAGATATGTAATTATTATTAACAAACTCTAATCCAGCAAAACAACACTGGAATACAAACCATACAACAAAATTATAAAAAAAGCAAGAAAATTAAAATGTTATGCATTAAAATGAAAAAGATTGACATTGCAATCATCACCTTCCATAAAACTCAATAACTCTTTAAGATTCGTCAAGATTGGACTTCATAAAATAATTTTGTAGCTTTATTTCTTAAAGTAAACTTCGAAACTATAAGACAAATATTTTGATTGTTATGAAATTGTAGAGATCTTCAAAATTTTGTGCAATAAATATTGGGGAAAAACTACACAAACGGCACTTACTTTGAGCGCAGCAATACCATCTCGAGCATACGGACATACAATTTTGCAAATCCTTGTAAGGTGGTAAAAATCCCATAATAAACTCCAACACCTCATCGGGAAGATCATGGATTGAGCTTTGTAAAGATTCATGAATTACTTCCATTTTCAATATGTAGCGTTAAAAATTTATGGCAATGAAATGTAACAATAATTATCGTTTTAAACCATTAGGAATTACATTTCATTTACACTATTTATTCATTTGAACGTCAAAAACTACATACAACTAGTATAACCAGAAAAAAAGGCAGATTTTGACACAAGGATTTTGACATGACATTTGACTTGTCGAAAGTTGCTACATCATTCTTGAATTACTTGCAAAGAGCAACTACGATTAAGAAAGTTTGTGTGTTATAGAACAGTTCGCTCCCTTACAAGAGTAGTGGCACAAACCAAAATAGTTTATATTTGTCTTAATAACACAGCTACGTTCATAATGTGCTAATTTATATTGTAAAAATTAACACCGAGCTTTTTATTTTCTAAAATAAAGAATGACAACATGGACCGGTGTATGATTCGTGTCGGCATTACACGTTAGATATGCTTCAGATGTTTCTAAACCATATTTCAGATGATTGATTTTGAGATAGGTCACTATTCTAGAAAGCCGTCGAGTTATGATAATAGAGCTGATTGAACATGAACCGCAATTTAAATGGCTGAAGAATATTGTCTGTTTCTTTACTTTAATACTTTGATTTATGCGACTTGTTATTTACAGAATAAAAAGTACAATAAAATTATAAAAAGGTAAACCACCTGACAACACGCTTATTATTTATTTGTTGAGCGAAGGTTTTTTGCGATTTCTGACATTTCGAGTACTCTTACCTCAGTTGGTCCCACAGAGACTAGTGATCCTCACCAGAAACCGGATCGAATAGCATAAAAAATGGTTACCTATGTAAAAATTGCCTTTTATCTAGCTGACTGCACTATTTTTTCAAAATCTGTGAATGCCAATCAAAATATCTTCAAAATTCATGGATAGTCTTCTAGAACTGGATGATAAAATGGATAGTTTTCCTGTAACTACAACGATTAAGATAGCTGACCTTGCTGCCCCGTCTCAAATTACACCCTGTATACGTGTATATCATTGACTTACAAATAAATGGACGACGGGTCTAATACAAAAACCACGAAAAATTCGAAATTTAAATTGTAATGTCATCGCAGTATCGCGCTGTCAGTAGAACAAATGAAGACTAAAGCGGAGTGTCGCGCTCTGTATACGATTTTAGCGCCTTACAAGTGCGGACACTTTTTAGCGCGGACCCGACGTCCATATAATTGTAAGTCAATGGTGTATATATATTATTTTAGTTATTCCATTTAACTTTTTCTGTAAAAAAAAAACAAATTATTTAGAAAAAAACCTAGGCTCTGTGTTTTTTCAAAAATGTGAAAAAAAACATTTGGTTTTCTTTTTCAAGTTACAACATTTGGGGTCGTAGTCTAGAACTCTACTCAATGCTCCAGACAGGATTTGAGTATGGTTTAAAGCACTCGAAATCATAATCAAGTCCCTGTCATTACTGTCGTATTTCCTGTGCTTGAAATCATACTCAGATCCTGACTTGAGTATTGCAGTGAGCACTGAAAATCATACTCAAGCCCTTGCTATTGGGGTCGTATTTCCAGTGCTTGAAATCATACTCAAGTCTGCTCAAATCCTGACTTGAGTATAATTTAAAGCACTAGAAATCACATTCATGTCTTTGCTATTAGGGTCGTATTTCCAGTGCTTTAAATCATACTCAAATGCTTACTTGAGCATTGAGTAGAGTTCTGGAATACGACTCATGTCCGCCTAACCGTTAGCAGCAAAAGCCAGGATTATGAATGTAGTACGTATATACCTTGTCGCAGCATGCAAGCCATCCTGCAATGCATTTTGCGAAACTCCATACATGGGCCATATTACGCATGATAGTATGCGAGCAGTTTTCTGCATGCGCAGCGGACTGCCATGTAGTGAATGAGCCGTACAAGTAATAAATAATTGAAACTCAAAACGTAATAATATGTACTCTAAAAATTAATTAATAAAAAAACTAACTACAAAAACCCGTATTTTTTCCATGACAACTCATACTTTACAGTTCGTTCAGAAACTCACTCAATACTTAACACTACTTTCTTGAAAATAAAAAAACTAAAAAAACTGTTAACACAAAACATTATAGAGACTCATCACATCATGGCGTGACAGTTGTACAATACTGATGAATAACTGAAGACATTAACTAGCCAGGTTAAATGTTGATAATACTACATAATAATAATAATAATAATAATATTTTTTTTATTCAAGTAAGCCTGACTCACAAGCACTTTCGAATTGTCAAAATTTACAAAGAATAAATAAAAATACACATGTCAAATAAAATAAAAAAAAACACTAATAATTCATACAAAATTGTAAAGTACAATAAAACAATATAACATTAACTCCACGCATTTTTGTCATTTATGTAATCATCAACTGTATAGTACCCTTTCGTCAGAAGTTTATTTTTAACATATGTCTTAAACTTGTAAAACGGCAAACATGAAATGTCGGTCGGTATTTTATTGAAATATATAATTCCTTGTCCCATAAAATAATTACGAACTTTTTGCAATCGGAATTGTGGTATGATTAATTTATCTTTATTTCTAGTATTACATTTGTGTATATCGCTGTGTTTCTGAAATACAGGAATATTTTGATGGACGTATAAAATACAATTTAAAATGTACTGTGATGCTACTGTTAGAATATTAATTTCTTTAAACATGTTTTTAAGGGAGACCCTGTTTCCCAGTTTATAAATGGATCTTATAGCTCTCTTCTGCAAAACAAAAATAGTCGCAATATCAGCTGCTTTCCCCCACAGTAGAATTCCATATGACATTATGCTGTGGAAGTAGCTGTAATAAACTAGCCTAGCCGTTTCTTGATCTGTAAGTTCTCTAATTTTTCTTACCGCAAATGCAGCTGAACTGAGTCTCGCTGCTAGGGCTGTAATATGCGGATTCCATTGTAATTTTGAATCTACAGTGATACCTAGGAAGACTGTAGATTCAACAAATTCCAGCAGATCGTTGTTTAACATTATTCCACTGTTAGAACATTTGACATTTGGAAGTGTGAATTTTATACATTTGGTTTTTCTGGCATTAAGTTGTAAATTGTTCACAGTAAACCAATAAAGTACCTCTGCAAGAGCCTTATTTACATCGTCAAAATTATTTTTTGTTCGGGGACTTTTAAAAATTAAGGAAGTGTCATCTGCAAATAAGACTATTTCACATCGGTTTTCTACAAAGAATGGTAAGTCGTTTACATAAACCAAAAATAAAAAGGGGCCCAATATTGACCCTTGTGGTACCCCCATTTGTACAAAAGATCCAGGTGATGTGATTCCATTAACACTAACTCTTTGAATTCTGCAACCAAGATACGACCGAATCAATTTCAAAGCATTATCACGGATACCATAGTGTTTGAGCTTCAACAAAAGAGTATTATATTCAACACAGTCAAAAGCTTTTGAAAGGTCGCAAAAAACACCAATGGCATTCTGCGACCCCTCCCAAGCATTATAGACATATTTTAATAATGCAATACCAGCATCTGTGGTAGATCGGCCCTTAGTAAAACCATATTGTTCTTTATGAAGGAGGCTGTATTTCGCGAAATGTGCCATAAGCTGATCAAGAACAATTTTTTCAAATATCTTACTAAGTGCTGGCAGAACAGAGACGGGCCGATAATTATTGGGATCATCTTTGCTACCCGATTTAAATAGTGGCAAAATTTTACTATGTTTCATAAGATCAGGAAATATACCTTTGTTAACACAGCTATTAAATACATCTACTAATACTGGAGCTATAATATCTATAATATGCCTAATAATATTAACTGAAATATCCCACAAATCACAAGTATTTTTCATTTTTAGAGATTTAAATGTTTTTATTATATCTGCACAAGTAACATTTTTAAAGCTAAATTGTTCTTCACACATGGGTATATATTTTTTAAGTAGCTCTTCAGATTTTTGTGAAGAAGCGTTAAGTGATTTCGTAGTCATAATAGGTATATCTGTAAAATAGTGTTCAAACGCCTGGGCCACTTTTTCATCAGATGTCAGAATATTATCACATATCTTTAATGCAAAATGAGTGTCTCGTGGTTTTATTTTTCCTGTTTCTCTGTTTATGCAATTCCATGTCGCTTTAATTTTATTATCAGACATTTTAATTTTTTTAGTAATGTACAGGGATTTGGCATATACGCACAATTTTCTGAAAATCTTTGAATATTTCTTTACATATTCCACGAATTTATTATTATTGTTATACTTTTTTTCTTCATATAACTCGTATAACTTGATTCTGCTTCTATGTAATCCAGTCGTAGCCCAGTCACTGAATTTTGATTGTTGACTTTTACTATATTGTTTAATCTTAAAATTATCGTCAAATTCATTCTTAATTAAGTGAAATAATTTTTTGTAAATGTAATCTGGATCATCCAGTAACAACGGCAAATATGTTAATTTTTCAGATATATTAAATTTAAATTTTCTTATACGGCTGTCCGTCACAGGTCGAAATGAAGCAACTTGATTTTCACTATCTTGTTTACTTGAAATAGTTATCCTTTGACCACAGTGATCTGATGATAAATTAGTTATGACTAGTTTATCTCTTACTTTAAAATTGCAGAAAAAATTGTCTATACATGTGGCTGAATGCGCAGTAATTCTAGTTGGTTCTAAAAATTGGTTATGAAAGTCAAAAGATTCGAACAGAGAGAGTAACCTAACACTTATTTGTGACTTTTCTAACAAGTTGACATTAAAATCACCGCAAATTACAATTTTCTTTTTGTTTCTATAGATTTTTTTCAAAACATCCTCCATTACAGACTCAAATACATCAAAGTTTCCGGACGGAGGCCGATACACACAAACCACAATACATTCCTCCAACTCCACACATGACAATTCAATTATTCGTTCTACCGAAAGGGCTACTATATCCTTACGTTCTTTACACTTATGATTTACATTAACAATTATTAAAGATCCGCCACGGATAGCTTTCTTCCTACTAAAAACACTACACAATTGAAATGACTTTATATTAAGTAACAATTCAAAATCTCTAAGCCAATGCTCCGTTATACATAACATATTTATACTTTGACTAAGTAAAAACAACTCTACTTCCAACTCCTTGCCAGTCAGACCCTGTATGTTTTGGTGCACTATTTGAAATTGATTGGGTTTGACTTTTGTCTTTTCACTTAGTTTAAATCAGGGGTTTTATGAGACGTGTAGTCTAATTTGAATATATTTGAATTAGTCGAGTTACTAACTGTGCAATCTATATTACAATTTGTAGACTTTGTTGCATTTCCTCTAATTGTATCTTGAACTTGTAAATTGTAAGCTAACAAAGAAGCTATCTTATGTCTATCTTTTTTCGCCAGGTACAAAGTGTCTGTTGTCAAATTAAAGCAAGATATAAATTTATTTGTGTCAAAAAATGCAATATTGTCACTATGACGACATGTCAAATGGTAAATTAATCGATTTAAGTCATATATGTGCTGATTTTGATCATATGATAAATTTTGAGCATATGGAAAAGCACATATTGTAAATTTACACTCAGTCTTAGAATTTAATTGAACTAAATGATTAAAACATTTTATGATGTGTTGTTTTTTAACAAAAAGACTGTCACCACAAAGGAAAATAACATTGGTAAATTTATTTAACTCGTACTCATACTGATTCAGGTTTTTGATAATTTTGTCAAATGGTAAATATGGAGTACAAATATTTAGCACTTCATGATTTAACTTATATTTTAGTATTGGCCCCATGCGTTGACCAAGCTTGTCAGAGAGTATAACTGTTTTCGGTTTACGAACCCCGGCATTTGAGTTAAGCTTGTTATATACAGAAGTTTGGCAGGGACTGACGTTCAATAACGCACTTTTAACACTGCTACTTAGTGAGCATAATGACGTATTACAATTATTGTCATTTTTAATGAACGGATTTTTATTTCTTATGATCGAGTCGTAGCACGCTGTATTAGAGTTGCTTGATTCCGTCACTTCTGCAGTGGTACGAATTTGCTCTTCAATCTTTCTTTGTGCGGATAGGTACTTTTCATTTATAGTGTTCAGAGATTCATGAAGACTTTCAATTTCCAATAGCAGTGCTTTTGTGTCTCGATCATATATTGCTCTACTATCCTTCAGTTTACCATCATAAATTTCTAGCGAATCCATGAGACTCATACGTTCCTTTCTAAGTGCCACATTTTTGTGAAAACAATTTTTTTTCTTAACCAATTTCTCAGTTTTCTTTATGTATCTATTAATTTTTATATACCTTTTTAGTTTATTACAACCTAAGATGTTACAAGATACAGATCTATATGATTTTGGTAAAATTGTTTGCTCAGATGAAAAGTTTTCAGATGATGACCTCAGTTCATTAAAAAGATTGTTTGAGTCTGGTTCCAAATCGTGCCTTTCATTAACCAAATCTGATATTTGTTTGTTTGCTGCGTTTAAATCCTGTTCGAGTTCTGTGATGCGGTCCAATGCTCTCTCGTAAGTGTTAATGCACTGGTCAAAGTTTTTAATTATGTTTTCAAGTTGGTTTCGTTCGTACAGCACTTCCAGGTGTTTGGATTGTAACTCAGCAAGCTCATTTTTCAATTTTGTGTTTTTCTCAATAATCTTCTTTATTTCTTCTTCGCTCTCATCTCGTTCGAGCATTAATTGATTACAGGAGTTCTTACTTGCTTCCAGCTCTTCCAGCACTTGCTGAAGCTTTAACTCAGTGTTTTGAGTTAAGGCCCTACGGGTCATCATTGTAGGACGTATTTTCTATCCTTTAGTGAGAAAACAGTACCTAACAGGAGACGGGCGCTATTCTCTAGGCTGTGATTATTATCTTATATATTTATTTTAGTTGATTATATGATCAGCGTCCATAATTTAAAACATCAATTATGAATATTATAACGTATAAAAAAAGAAAATAATAATACAAAACAAAAAAAAAAAAACAAAAGATATTTTTGTTATGTCAAGACTGGTCCGAACCCTGACCCGGTGAAATTACCAGTCGGCATGTGTTACCGTTCGGCTAATAGTTCTATGTTTGTGTATGGCGAAATTAATGATTCTGTGCCTCTGTTGTTCTAGTAGTTGGCGTACAAAGTTCAATGTTTTTTTTTTTTACTGCACTTTGAAGGTAGATTAAAATCAACAATAAGTTTAATCATGTACACAAGTCACTATTTTAGTTTAATTTATAGAATTTAAGATCACTGATCATTTGTATTTATAATAACAGTTAATTCTCACTTAAAGAAAGTCACTTTTAACTTTTTTAGACACTGTCCAATCAATGTAAATACACTTTCTGTCGCCGTTCAATAATATAATGTTTTATGATTAAACGAAGCTGTAACAGTTCACAAACGTTGTCACTTAAACTTTGAACAATAAATAATATGTTGGTTATAATATTATACTGTTTGTACTAGTTTTAATAATTTAAATTTTGAGTAAGTACGGAGCTAATTATTATCGCGGCGACAGCGCCATCTCACTCCCCTACAACACACAAGTTCCACAATATATAATATAATACTTTCTTTTTTGTCAAACATTCTTGTGTATCTACTTGACTAGTAGATAGTAGAACTCTACTCAATACTCAAGTCAGGACTTGAGCAGACTTGAGTATGATTTCAAGCACAGGAAATGCGACCCTAATGGCAAGGACTTGAGTATGATTTCTAATGCTTTAAATAATACTCAAGTTCTGACTTAAGCATTGAGTAGAGTTCTAGAATACGACGCTATCGTCGTAAGTAGGTAACATAAATATTTAAAACTAGGCAGTATCAGTCTTTGACCCATACTTTCTTGACGAAAGGAATAAAAAAATCCTTTCTTTGACCGGGAATATTTAATTTGCCTACTTCTGCTAAAGAAAATTATTAGTTTTCTATGGAGACAGTGAAAAAAAATTATATTAGAGTTAATTCTGTGCGTAAATTGCAATAAATGTGGCAGTGTATTGTAATAATTTGCATTGATTTGAGGTGTGTCTGGTTTGACATATAACCTAAGTTCCAGATTTTATCATTATTTAGTTGAATTTTAAAAGCACCAGTACAAGTGAGATAATGCAGCATTTAATTCAAGATAGTCCCTTGTTAGGCAAATTGAAACATTGGCGCCAAGCCGTTTCTTTCAGTGACATTCAATTAACTACATCTCAAAAGGTAAGAACATTCTTATACAAGATCATGAGGCTAATTTTAAGTTAGTACAGTAGGTACAATATGTGATTTCTAAAAAAAAATGGATTGCAATGTATATATCCGTACAGGTCTTGCGAACATAGAACTGTTTACTTTATTTTAAATGTCCATAATAAGCTACATCTACACAGTGACCCTGACTGTTTGTTTACTTTACCAAAACTGGTTTTAGTTCTAAAATAAGATTGTGTGTTACGAAAACAGAATGGCTAGTTTAATAACAACACCATTACAGTACCTATGTTAAATCTATGAAGTACGTAAACATAAATCATAGAATAAAAATATTTAACAACGCATAATTAAAATCAAGTTAAGTACTTGTAGTAAATTATTATGTTAATAATTGTAGGCACCAGTTCCCAAAAAATAATTTTACTTGAGTGTGGAATTATTTAATTAGTTCTATTTGAATTCAGTTCAGTGGGACAATCATACTATATTCTGTATTTACGGATTTTGTTTGGGTGCCTCTTGCTTTATACCTTATTCAGAATCGCAGTCTATGTACTATAATGTGATCTTAAAGATAAAGATAAAGATCGATTTATTTGTGGAAGTAGGTACAATAAGTTAATCAGATCAGTTCAATACATTAACAGTGCTACTACAACCAGTTTCGTCGAAACATACAAATATAATTAGTGGTGGTCGCATAATGTACAAAATATTATAATTAAAAACTGTCAAAAACTAGTAAATATGTAAAGAAAAAATATAATAAAAATTAGTAAAAATTAACAATGTCAAAAATAAAGCGAAAAATCATGTTAATGTCAAACTTACATAATTTACATTTCTAAGCCTCCATAAAATATGCGCATGTCAAAAATGAATGAAAGTCAATAATAACTAATCTTATATAATATCTAGTGACAGGGCGAACAAGTCATGCGCTCGATGGTACCTAATCTAATTTTCTATATAAGTAACAAACAACATAATGTAGACTATTTTAATAATATTACAAAATAACAAAATTATGGATTTACCTAAAAGTATCAGCTGAAAATATCTGACAGAAAAAAAAATTTGAAATAATTTATTGAATAGAAGAAAATCTAATTTATAATTTTTTTCAGGTTGTATTATGGAGTATAGGAGTAGTAGGTACAAGTGCAGTTGTTGTTGGAGTACTCTCCAGATACTTGGCAAGACGACGAGCCAAGCCTATCTTGAACCCTAGAATCCAAAGAGCTATCAATAAGAGAATCTCCCGCATGAGAAGTCCTAATGGAGGTAAGGAACATGGTTGTCATTATAAAGCTTGATTTGTATCATCTGTAAGCTGGAAATTAGATAAAAAGAAAAATGTGCACAATTATCAAAATTTTAAATAAATGTGCTGGACAGCCCACTTCAATCAAAAGTTTGCAATAATTATTGATTATGATTAGTTTTTATAGTAAATACAATTCTGTACTCATTCAGTATTATATTATTAATTCTTATAAATGCCAGGAATGGGTTCAGTTGCAAGCAGTGGAGGTCGCAGCAGTCCTCTAGGCTTCAGTGAGCGACTTTCACTTGCATCAGGGTCTATTGGTTCGGGTGGTGGCGATGCATCGCCGCTTTCGCCGCAACAACTCGGCGTTATGGGTATGTACACTGTAAACTTATTTTCGCACACAATACTATGGATTATGTAGGTTCTCACTTATCTATTTTAAGTAGAATTAAATACATGAAAATTTTTACAATTTTTATTGTCTTAAAGATAAAAATAATTTTAAGCAAAATTTGAATTGCAAAAAGGTGGTTTAACTTATGCTGAAAAATATACGTAAAACAGATAAATTGTTTACATGTTTGAGGTGATTGTATCAAAAATTTTGCAGCGCCATCTCTTATTGAGTAGTTGTACTGCAAAGTTAACTTTCTTTGTAACTCGTGTTCTAGTACAAGACGTAGTACAGAGATGGCAGCACTCTTCAAATATTCCCTACGCCTCGATTTGAAAGATACTCGAATCCATAACAAATAAACCCATAGAATTAGGAGGTCCAAGATACAAAATGGATGTTATGATTAATATTATGTACCGTTGGATGTGTAACATACCCAGCACTGGCAAACAGTGAACTCTTTCTGAAAGTTATACCTACCTAGATTGCATGGTAATCATGAAATATTAGTTTTAGCGGGATCTCTGCAATTATAATTGTTATGTTTTAGAAGTGATGCCAAACGCGTATTATGATATGCGGGCTGTTAATTTAAAAGTCACCTTGACTGCATCCACCAGATACCTATTACCCAATTTGTTGCACGGATCTAGAGTTCCTGCTACGACTACACTAGACTAGACTCTATTTAAATATCATGTTATGTAACCTCCAGATATCCACAGAACGTGTACTTTTATTCTAGTATGAATGGATATTATTATAAGGACACAGCTGTTTTTATTAGCAAGATGAATGTCATCATCATCAGCCTACCGCAGTCCACTGCTGGACATATAGGTCTCCGCCAATGTGCGCCATTTAGCCCGGCGCTCAGCTTGTCGTATCCATTTCCCGCCAGCAGCAACCTTTCGCAGGTCGTCACTCCACTTGGCCGGAGTCCTACACTACGTTTGCCGAGTCGCGGTCTCCACTCTAGAACTCGTTTTCCCCATTGGTTATCGGTTCGTCGACAGATATGGCCAGCTCACTGCCACTTCAGTTTGCTTATTGCACGAGCTTTGTCGGTGACCTTGGTTCTCTGTCGCATAACCTCATTACGAATTTTATCCTTCAGAGAAACTCCGAGCATAGCCCGTTCCATACCACGTTGAGCGACTTTAAATTGGTGGACCAGCCATATCGTGAGTGTCCACATCTCGGCTCCGTAAATCATAACAGGCAAGAGGCACTGGTTGAAAACCTTTGTTTTCAGATGAATGTAATAAATCCATACTCGTACGGACATTACCTAACACCGATACTTACCCAAATAGGTTTTGGGTTGATCTAATTTTATCATAGGCGTTTTTAAGTGGCTTGTGTTTACGATAAAATGAAGTTATCATCGGCGAACCGAATGAAGTAGAACCCGTTTTACGTTTATTATACATAGGTTCGACAAATTTAATGTAAAGTGTATTCCGCAACAGACGCTTTGTGGTTCTTTGAATTTGATTTGCAATTTATACAAAAGTAGTATTCTCATATCTCCAAAAACATGGCCTGTTACAATTCAAATAAACGTAACTAAGTGGTACCTAAATTATTTTCTGGCCTTGACATTATCCAAGTCTGCAATCCAGTTGATGTCAGCAACTGCCTCACCTCGATCAGATTGAAATTTATATCTTCAACAAATTGACGTTCGCCTTTAGTTATGAATTGCAACAGTTTTAATTTTAATTCATCGGAATATTATATGTTCATATATTTTTTATATTAGATATTTCCGAACACGCCTGTTCAAAAAAGATCATAATCACTTAATTTATGTATACAACTATAACGGACACTTGTGTCCTCACCTCGCTTCGCCAGTACCTTTCATTACTGTTTTATTTTTGGTACTTTTTTTAAAACAAGGAAATATTCAAGTCTGAATAATAAAAACAACATAGGTTTATTAAAAACAACCTTAATATCTATGTTTGTTATTTGAGGCACAGTCATGGCACAGCGAGTGTTTTATCGAAGGTCTTACTTATCGTGTGACGTATTTATCGCGCTCTGTCCTCCGTGGGCATCGCGATTGCAAAATTCAACGCTATGTAGTGAGGCTCGTTGGTCTAGGGGTATGATTCTCGCTTTGGGTGCGAGAGGTCCCGGGTTCAAATCCCGGACGAGCCCGGTATTTTGCTTTTCTTTTTTTTTATTTTATTGTGAGATTTTTATAAAGGATGCATGCTATGAAAACGTTTGATACATTTTTTCTGCAACTATATTTTATTATCTTGTGCTCAGCCAATTTGAGATTTTGAAACAAAAGCTTACCGATATCAGATCGATAATAAATCAGCATAGTTACATAATGTTCTCTTCCCATTTTAAAAACTATGACGATAATATGTATGTACCTACCTAAATTGATATCGAATAGGATGTATAATATATGTATAAGATGTATGTTCGTGAATATAGGTCACATAACACAACGTTCTATAATACCCCAAGGATTTAAAACAAACGTCTAAGTAAGGTCCCTTGCGGAAATGCTCGCGTTTTTGGCGTTCCCTGCACGTTTTGCGCGACCCGCAAACACGGTACGTATGGAAGGATGTCGGGCCATGAAACCTCTTAATAAACGCTACTAATAAACAAGTCAATAAATAATGTAACGTTTTCGTCCAGTAACTAGTATCAAAGCCTTTTTATATTTACCATTTACAAATATATTTGATTATTTACTTTACAAACTAAGGTTATACGCTCGTATAATAGCATTATTAGTAGACTTATTTTAATGGATAAATAAATGAAATGTTCGTTATTGCACGTAAAAAAATTACAATCATAATACAACAACTAATGTTCAAAAAAAATATTACAAATTTGATAATGTGAATCCACGGACTATTCAGTCAGAAGTCGTCGTGTATTTCATTTAATTGTATGTTTTTCGATTTATTGTTAATATTTTATTGTCCAAATAACTCGGCTACACACCAGTCACCAAGTTGTACCATCACTTTATAAATCACAAAGTTGAACGCTATTTATAGTACATATTTTATGTCCCAAGCTATGGCCCACCATACTGCCAAGGTTCTTAGGGTCGTATTCTAGAACTCTATTCAATGCTCAAGTCAGGATTTGGGTATGGTTTAAAGCACTCGAAATCATACTCAAGTCCCTGCTATTAGGGTCGTATTTCCAGTGCTTGTGTTTCCAGTGCAATCCTGACTTGAGCATTGAGTAGAGTTTTAGTATACGACCCTAAGTTTCTTATAAGGTTTTTTGTCTTACACGTCTGTCTACTGGCTGTAAAGGATGTCAACACGATTACGAGATCAGACGTGGTATCTGTAATAAAACAGTCCAAGTTCATACTGCGCAGACTCCGGACATTTTATTAGCCAATAAAGTGAAGCTCATTCTGGTCCTAATTACAAAAGTGGTAAAATTTCAATGAATTGTCTGAAATTCTCCGTCTGCATGCTATGATTAGTATGGGCTATATTCCTTTGAATTCGAAAATTATGCTTAGAAAATTTAATTCTTACATTCATAACGTTTTAACTATGAAATCAATATTGTAATAATAAATTATCAAGTACAACTTACTTAGTAAGTGAGTTTTTTAAGTTGGTTTGCTTGATTGTTTGCTTAACAAACATACGTTGGAGAGACAGAAAAAATATTTCTGCATTTTTTTACAATTTTCTTCCTATATTCTTGCTTTGTTCTGAAAAATATTTTGATTCCACCATTCGCAATTTTTCGGAAATTGCCCAACAATAGTGTTAGTATTTGTATGATACCCATGCATTCGACGTAATTACAAGATTGTCGTGCTTTTCGAGATAGAAATTAGACATATAGAAGCAAAACTATCTGTGTCCAGATTTTACTTTTTTTAAAAATTATAATGTCAATTTATTTGTTTCGCCTATTGTTTCAAGGAGCTAATTTCTGTTACTTGCAGAAACGTGTAGATTCTCCGAGAATCGCTTCGAGTAAGGCGTAAACTTATGTCCATTAATAATTTATAAAGCTGAAGCATTTTAATTCGTTCCGCTACTTGTCGATAGGTGGCGTTCTTGCATAACTGCGTATTCGGCGCATATGGTGATATAAATATCAGTTATGTGTCAATAGGCAATCGGTTTGTTTTTTGTGAGTTTTAAATTTTGTAACTTTTATGTTCATTATCATAATTTTTGGTATGAAGATAATTACTTCTAATATAGGACTATGTTTTCAGCATGTCTTACACCGGCTCGTTGGTCTAGGGGTATGATTTTCGCTTAGGGTGCGAGAGGTCCCGGGTTCAAATCCCGGACGAGCCCAACAATCTGTTTTGTTTTTTTTAGATAAGTATTAAATAAAGTTACTTTTTTGTTTTATTTTCAATATTTTTGTCTATAATTCTCCAATAAATGCTTTTAATTAAAGAAAATTTTGATAGAAAATAAGAAATTTTTGTTTTTTTGCACTTAAGATATTATTGTCGGCTTTAGCGGGGTAGCCGGAGACCTACAGGTCCTGGGAACATTTAAAATTTTAATTTATTTGAATCTCCACTCATAAACTTTTCATTTAAATGTTTGCACCAAATACACTGCTTCCTCGGGCCATTTAGCATTTGTGGCAACTGACAAAGCTACTCATTCCTTTGAGGGTATACCTCAGGGATACCCCCACACACGAATAATTAAACTGCCTCCAGCCTGCCTTTGAGTCTCGACTCACTTGCTAGGTTGAACAATGGCGCATTAAGGAAAACATCCTTTAAACGTCTCTTTGGTTTTTAAAGATTTGAGACGTCACCTCATCATCTGACAACAATCTCATCTTTACCGTTTCTTCTTGTACTTTTTCTAATTTATCAAAATCTTTTTAGCTTATGCTTAAAATTAACGCCTAATCTCCTAAGGCCCTGAGTTCACCAAAATGTACATAATATACTCCCGGACACATATAACTCGAGCCACC